GTCCGCACTCCAACCTAAGTTTCTATGGAAGTAACATGGGTAAAATTCGATTTGTTTTATAACTTAGCGATAGGCGAATCAAAATTTTGATAATCACATTGTATTTGCTTATTTTGATTATAAATAAAAAATGTACAACAAAAATTTGATATATTTTATAAAATAAGTATTTACTTAGGAAGAAGAACTAAGAAACTTTGGTTGGAGTGCGGATTATGTTAGAGTTAATATTAAGAGCTAAAACTTACAGAGAATTGTTTATCTACAAAAAGTCTTCTTAGAAAATTTTGAGTATAAAAAATAACTGATTGTGAATGGGGAAGTATTTAATATATGTGAAAGGGTCAGCTAACACAAATCACATGGATGGTTTACCCACTGCAAAAGATGCTATATTTGAAAGTTCTAGCTTTTCGCTTTATTAATCCATTAATTATTTCATTTAAAGCAAAGTGTAAACATTAATTTTGGAATCTTAGCAAATATATAAAAATTGAATGGTTTTACAATTTTGAAGTCGGTACTGCTTTTTTTTAGAAAACTTGAAACTTGAACTTATTGGAACGCAATGTTCAATTTGGTGTCAAACTATTCAACTTTACTTCAAATATCGAGAAAACATAAAATTAGCAAAGGAGGTGTCTATTTATCACGTGATCTATGGATTTTTGGACATTTCCTACCCCTTGGTGATACGTGGTGATATTTTAAATAAACCTCCACCTCTTCTCCCACACAACATCACGAGTATTTTTAGTACCTAGAAAAATCGCAATTTATTTTTGATTTTTTTTATCTATATTTTATCTATTAGACCTCCCCCATAATATTTCGTGATTTTGTATCAACCCCCTTCTCTTTTTAAGTCTCACATGATTATGGACGCCTCCAAACCAGGTTTTCTGGCAAAAACATGTGCAACATATTATGGGAGAGAGTTAACAATATATTTTAAGAAAAAAAAGTTGTTTTGTATTTTCTTAAAAAAAAGATTTTACTAGGTAATGCCATGATAAATGCATATTTAGTGTGCAATTGGGTTCTATAATGAAATGCTCTTTATCACCATTTCATAGCGCTTTTGTTCTTATCTAATTTTATTTGCAATTAAGGTACTTAATGGTGCATTAATAGTGATGTAATTTAGAATATGTCTGTATGTATGTATATATTTATGTATGTATGTATGTATGTATGTATGTATGTATGTATATTTCCATGTGTGTTTTAAAAATGCGACTAGGTAACGATAAATCGGTTTTCGAGTGCGGTCATTGATTATCGCGATCTTGTGAAACTGATATGATAATAATGCAGATAGACGCACTTGTCACTAAACGACAACTTATTATTGAAATATATTTGTCTTTTTAATAAGAGAGCTGGCAACCATTCTAATGTTCTGTCAATGATCATCCTTGAGTTGATCGGTAATTTGTGTCAAATTTTTTTGAACAGAGTCATATGCGGGGAGGTGGATTGTTGCCAAGATAACTGAATGATGAATAATTTTAATTTGATTATGAATTGCTAAGGAATTCTTCTGGAAACCTACTATTTCGAATACCTCAAGTTACAAATATTTGTAATTTTAGTGTGTTTCTAAAGACTTTGCTGGGAAACTTATTTTCTTGAAGGTACATTTTAATAAAATCATATGAATCTTGATAATATGAATCAAAGAGTCACTATTAATATTTCTGCACTGCATTTCATTTAAATAAATTGGTAAAATAATTATACTTTAAGTAGTTTTCCCAATTTTTTCACTTAAAGATCTTCTCATTTTCCAACTAAATTTATCATAATAATTTTATTTTCATCTTACCCATTATCCTGGTAACTTTTAATTAGATATTTTTATTAAGATGAACTTCATTTTCTCTACTTCTGCAGCACATTTTCTTAATTAAATTATACCATAGTTATGCTTTCATGAAGATATTCTCCTGGAGTCATATGAAATGAAATTGCTTGTGATATGATTAATATTTTGAAAACTAATCATGGATAAGATGAAAATAAAATAAGAATGTTAATTTCAGCTGGAATAATAGTTGATCGATGAAAAGAGAAATGAGAAAAATATATAAAAATTACTTAAATTATTATGAAATTATTTGAAACAATTCTGTGAAAGTTAGGCTATTTTTACTTAGAAAGATGCATTTTTCCCCATGTGATTTTAATTAAAAATAGGGCGAATTTGTGAATTGAGACTTTGGAATTCTTTATATTCAGTTTTAAAATTACTTTTTGTAGAAAACACTAATAACTTCTTCAAGCATTTTAAAAAATGCCCAATGTTTAGACCAATACAGTCTTTTCATATTATATTGCATTATCAAATTATAGTTTTGCATCATTAAAACGAAGTTATTTTTATATTATTATTTATATTTTATAAGTTATTTTTATATAAGTATGACTTAAAAGTCAATATTAAATGTGCATACTACCAAATGAAGTTATAAAAAAATCGATGACTTAAATTAGTAAGAATAGGTTGCTTGTTTGGCCATTAAGTTTTATTATATTTTCTTTCAGTTTAGGTCTATGTCCAGTTGTTATTATTTTATTGAAAATATTAATATTCAGTTGGGATTAAAGTCAGTTTTTCTAATACATCATACATCTAATCACAATTAGAGTTAATTTTTGTCTTATTACTGGTGTGAAATAATATCTCGAAGTCCAAGCGTTATAAATAATTGTGAAATATGAAAACAAATTCTAATCGCATCATATGATAAATAACGCAATATCATTCACATACAAATCGCTTGTCAGTATTTTACTCTAACAAAAAAAGACTGCATAAACATCTAAAATAGTAGGATCAAGACACGTAAGTGATAACTGGTGATAATATGTATGTTAATTGATAAGGTCGAACCAGTAGAAGATTGTTTCTTCCTGGCCAACAGCAGTGGTATTAGAACCGCGTCAAATGCAAGGTTGAATATCAAATACAGCGGCAAAAATTTAGCAGTGGCTTATATACTTCTATATACGCCTACACGGTTATTTAAAGCAGTCAAAAATTAATCCAGGCCCGGATAGCGAATTCTAATATGATGCTAATGCACCGCGGCACGCGATTCCCAAAAACCTCGTGACTTGACTTGACTCGTCTCTCTGGTTCAGTTATGAGCTCGGCCGAATACGAGCGCGGCTGAACAGATGGCGACGGTTTTATTTTATTATGAAATAGAACCAGAGGTTCAGCGATAAATAACTTACAGTACGATTTATGTTTTACTTTCACCGTACAGATCATTACTCTTCTTCCTGATAGATATAAAATAGTGATTAGATTATGCTTTACACATGCAGAACTTTGCACATTGATTGGAGTTCAATTAGAACTCGGATTTATATGATCTGTCTTATCGAGAATAAAGGAATTATAACAAAATGAATTGCAATTTCGATATGTGTATATTATAATTTTGTTTAGTATTTGATTTTGGTTTTATCTGTATATATAATCACCAGAACACTATTTTGAATATTAGCACAAAATTTATAAAGGTTTTTATTTTATGGCGCTGTGTGAGCTCATTTTTTTTATCTTTATACATTTTTGATTAAAAATTAGTGTTATTAGCAATATTATACTTACATAGCACTCTGATGGTTCTTCAGAGTAATTGAGAGGATTTTATAGGTTGTAATGCTAAAATAAACATAAATAAAAGTGAAACATAGGAACAAAAAATGGTAGGAATTGCTCCAATAGGCAACTGACTATGGAATGCTCATGGGATTATTTTTTTATACTCTTTGTACAATTTTGATTGAAAATTAGTGTTATTAGCAGTCTTGTACTTACTTAGTACTTTGGTTCATCAGAGGATTTTAAAAGTTGTAATATTCAATTAAAAATACATAAAAACGAAACATAGAAAAAAATTGTAGAAATTGCTCCAATAGACAATTGACTATGAAATGCTCATGGTATTATTTTTTCATACTCTTTGTACAATTTTGATTAAAAATTAATTCCATTAGCTATTTTGTACTTACTTAGTACTTAGATGGTTATTCAGAGTAATTGAGACGATTTTATAGGTTGTAATGCTAAATTAAAAATAAATAAAAGTGAAACATAAGAGCAAAAAAGATAGGAATTCATCCAATGACCAGTTGACTATGGAATATAATTTTTTACATTGAGTATATTTTGAAACTACTTTTAGACAGAAAATCAATCCAATGAAATATTGTTCGCTTAGGATGATAGTAAATTTTTAAGTGATGTTTATCACTCTTCTTCTTGATGACATCTATACTTTAAAAGAGGTCATAGGAACAAAAGAATGGTAGGAATTCATCCAATGAGCAGTTGACTATGGAATACATTTTTTTATCCAATAAAACATTCGGTAAGGATGTTAGTGAATTTTTAAGTGATCTTCAACACTCTTCTCTTCTTGATGATATCCACTTCAAAAAAGGTCATCGAATGGAATACATTAAAGTCAAAATTAATATTGTACCATGTTGCTTTGTTCTTATAGGTGTTTAGTTTAGAGGAGAATTCAATAAATCTTATTACTCTATTGAATAGATGATAAAAAAAATCTGTTTTTAAATTTTTGCTATCAAATATATGTGGCATATTGAAATCTTATTATTCTAATGATTATCTAATGATTAAATTTGAATTATTATTTTCTATAATAAAATTTTATTTATAAAAATATTCTTCAATACAAAAATAGGCTACTTATAATAATTGCAGTATAAACTTATAAATAAAAGCATATATATATATATATATATATAAATATATAATTATTATTAATGATATATAAAACTTATTTTGTTAAGTGTATGCCTAATGCATTAGCATTGCATGACAACACGATGTTCTCTTCACAAGTCTCAATACCAAAATCTCATTTTCAAGTAAACATCTCGAAAATCATTTGAAGAGATTTGCTTCATCTTTTATAGAAACCATTTCACAAAATCCTACAATAGAAAACCACATTTCAATATTCTTCTTCTCCTTCGTCGTAACCAGAATCTAGTCCGACTTCTTCGTAATCTTTTTCAAGACTCGCTAAATCCTCACGCGCGTCTGCAAACTCGCCTTCCTCCATGCCTTCGCCTACGTACCAATGGACAAAAGCTCTTTTGGCGAACATGAGATCAAACCTAATAAAATTAGAGAAGATACAAATCAATAAATTGTTTTTGATTTGCCACAATATTAATAAATTGCTTTGCAGTAAAATGAGCTGGCATTTGATGTCGTTTGAACCTCGATGTTACGACATAGTAAAATGTTCGATTCAATTCGGTCAATTATCAATTATAAGTTAATTTTCAAATATGATTATTATTACTTACTTATGGTCTAGTCTGGCCCATGCTTCTGCAATCGCAGTAGTATTTGATAGCATGCACACAGCTCTCTGAACTTTTGCCAAATCACCTCCAGGAACCACAGTTGGCGGTTGATAGTTTAATCCAACTTTAAACCCCGTAGGACACCAGTCCACAAACTGAATACTTCGTTTCGATTTTATAGTCGCGATAGAAGCATTTACATCTTTCGGAACTACATCGCCTCTGTATAATAGACAACACGCCATATATTTGCCATGCCTGGGATCACATTTAACTAATTGATTAGAGGGATCAAAGCAGGCATTTGTAATTTCTGTTGTAGTCAAAGATTCGTGGTAAGCCTTTTCGGCAGAGACAATTGGAGCGTATGTTGTAAGTGGAAAGTGGATTCTGGGATATGGAACTAAATTAGTTTGGAATTCTGAAAAATCTACATTTACTGCTCCATCGAATCTCAGGGAAGCAGTGATGGACGACACAATTTGTGCCAGCAATCTATTCAGATTTGAGTATGTTGGACGTTCTATATCTAAAAATCTTCTTGTTACATCATATATCGCTTCATTGTCCACCATGAAGGCGCAGTCTGATAACTCCAAAGTTGAGTGACAAGCTAAAAGCGCGTTATATGGTTCAACTACTGCTGTTGATATTTGAGGACATGGATAAATAGCAAATTCTATTTTAGATTTTTTGCCGTAGTCAACGGCCAAGCGTTCCATCATTAAAGATGTGAAACCCGAGCCAGTGCCTCCTCCAAAGGAATGGAATATTAGAAAACCTAGAAAAAAATATAGCTATAGTTATTTCTCTTATATCAATTGAATCTAATTTTTACCTTGAAGACCACCGCATTGATCAGCTAGTTTACGAATCCTATCAAGTGTTATATCTATTAGTTCTTTACCAATTGTGTAATGACCTCTGGCATAATTATTTGCTGCATCTTCCTTTCCGGATATCAATTGCTCGGGATGAAATAATTGCCTATAGGTACCTGTGCGCACTTCATCTACAGTTGGAGGAATTGAATTACATTTGATCAGCTCATAAATTCACTTCAGATTAGATCCAATACAAAATTTCATATTTAACTTCCCGTAGGGTAAGTTATAGTAATAGCAAAAAAATCGAAAATGAAAATTTTTATATATTTTTACGTTTCCGAGGTTTCTGAATACTTTGGCATACTTTAGAAAAAAATGGATGTATGTGTGTGTATGTGTGTGCGTGTGTATGTGTATTCGGATACAAATTTTCGTCGACGATTTTGGGTACACGGATAAAGCGATTTGAATAATTCAAAAAACATTCGATTCGTGTTGATAAGGAGACGTGCTTATTAGTTTTTGGCGAAGTCAGGTCTAGTCGTTCCGAAGATATGGGGCAAAATGTGCCAAAAACGGTAACTCAGTTTTTAAGAGAATGGAGCGTTCGATTTGAATAATTTATTAAAACATTTTATTTGTATTGACTGAATGAAGAACTGTTCAAATTTTTGGAAAGGCAGGTCCAACGACTTTCGAGATATGGAGAAAAAAGTAAAAAAATGAGCCATTTGGCGGTCAAAAATGAACATTAGACATATGCACATTAAATTATCAGATATTTTATAGAGATGTTAACAATAAGTATAAATTTTGTTTACATTCATATGGGTTCCGTACCAATGTTTAAGCGTTAGACGGCGACGCGGCGCTTACGCGCTTTGATATTTCGTCTTTATGCAGTTAAAGCAGTACGATTGCTTTGAAAAAAAGTTCAGAATTCCCAAAATATTTCAAAATAAATGATTTAAGATAGAATGATTTAATATGGTTCGAAATTCTATTAAAAGTTTCAAATTATTGATCAACTTTTATTGATTATTATTATTGATTATTTTTAATTACTCGAATTTTGAATTGCGGTATGGAAAGTTTTAGCAATTTGCCTTGAGGCACGATGCCCTAATTGCCTTAAGACAGAATTCCACTTACAGCTAGTTTTTTTCATCTTACCGAGGACAGTTGGTTCTAAATCCAGCATTACCGATCGAGGCACGTGTTTTCCGGATCCTGTTTCGCTGAAAAAAGTACTGAAAGAGTCATCTCCTACGCTCATTTTGTCCGACGGCATTTGTCCGTCCGGCTGAATGCCGTGCTCCAGGCAATAAAGCTCCCAACAAGCGTTGCCTATCTGCGCCCCCGCCTGGCCGATGTGAACGGATACAACTTCCCTCTGAAGCGGAAAAATGAAGATTATTGAAATTTATGATAATATATTATTGCATTCAATGGGATTTAATATATAATTTTTTCTCATAAATGCAAGATCGAAATGATTTATGAAAATAAAATCAAAAGCAAACGCAAATTTTGATTAAAATAATAATATGGTCTCGCATTTATTATCAAAACGCTTTGCTAATATGTCATATATTACCATATTATATATCCATACTCACCATATTTAAATATCATGAATGTATTATTTATACAAAATCTTGTTTATGAATTAATAAAAAATTATATTTCAAAATATATTAAACTATGTGCATTTATAAAAAACTCAAATAAAACTGTCAAATCTTGCTCGGATATAAAAAATGCATTTCTTTTGTCGATTTAATTGTGTATGAGATGTCAATTTAAATTTAAAACTAGTGGCGAGTGGCATTGGGCTTTAAGACAAATTACTGGAACTGCCCATAACGTAATTAAATATTTGAGGAATGAAAAAAAAAAATCAACAAAAATTGATCAACGAATGAATTGTTTATAATATAAATAATATATGATAAATTATAAATTTTACCTAATATAAGTGCTTATATTTGGGCCACGAACTTTATATATGTTTTCATGAAAAATATATAAACAAACACTCCATTAATAGTTTTGAAACATTTTAGTTTCTTTCTCTCGAAATCAGCTGTTTTTTACAGTTTTTGCTCTGTATCTCCAAAACTTGCCTTTGCCAAAAACTAATCAGCACATCCGTCAATGCGAATTGAATGGTTCTTTATCAAATGCTTTGATTTTAATTTTTCAAGGAAATCGCTAAATGCGTGCTCCCACAATTGTGGACGAAAAATTGTATCCGAACATACAGACACACACACGTTCATTCATTCTTTCTAAGGTATGCTAAAATTTTCAGAAGCTTTTGAAACGTAATGAAAAGCAAAAGTTTTTTATTATTTTTAATTTTTTGCGATTACTATAACTTACCATAAGAAAATTTAAAATAAGTTAAAATATTATTAATTATTAATATATAATTATATTCATTTGATTGAAGATTAAATATATATGATGTGTTTGTTGTTATTCATAGAAATGCGGTTATTAATATGTGGCGACTTAAATTAATAGCAGCTATTTATGACATAATTATTATCATTCGTAATACTCAAGATGAAATGCATCTAATTATATTAGTATCTCTAAGGCTTAATAAAGGTAAATAATATATAATAAATATTCAGACATTCATTAATATTTTATATTTGAATAATAAATTTTTCAGGGAATATTGAGTAATAATAACGAATTATTTTCGGAGATATTGAAAATTAATATATTATTTAAATAATTCAAGTATTTTAAAATGAGTGATATTTTTTGGTTTTCATGGTAAGCCAAAAAATATGTTATCATTAATATGAACATTGAATTATTTTCAAGCGATCATTTTTATTGAAGACTTTAATCGATGTTTAGTATTTTTAAAATGCATCAGTAACCCAAAAATCAACTGCATTTTTTGCCATGCTATACTAATTTAGAGTCAGGTTTACTGAAATATATTGTTTGTCATAATACGTACAACCTTGTGCTTTGTCAAGATAACAATTCTCAATTATTAAATATGATAAATTAGCCGAAACTAATTATTTACAATTCCTACCTATTATGTATGCGAATCACGTTCTAAAGAAATTGTCACCGCATCGCTTATGCAATGGAATGAGCCACTTTGTCGTAATAACGTTGAAAAATGCATTATTTTAATAAACATCTGACAATTAGTGCACTATTGCACTAATTTTTCCTTTATTCAACATATTACGTAATCGACGTCGGTTTCACTTTTTTTCTCTGCTTTTGCTTTTCTGTTACATATAGCCGAACTTTCATGAATTAAAGTTAATTTATCTGCTTTCACTCGGGCAATTAATGAATGTGTATGCGCCAAGTACCGTGAAATAGAATAACAATATTTTGGGAGTAGCGAGGTAAAGTGATTTACGAAACAATGATACATGGTTTAATTTTAAAATTTATCATATTCTAACATGCTCATCATTGGAATTGTTGTATGAAAGACTTTTCTATAGACTGGATTTGGGAAATTTGGGATATATTCTAAGTCAAACATCTACAAATTAATCCTTTCCACTCGCGAATTCCGAGATTTATATGAATTTTAGCATCCGAGTGGAAAGGGTTAAAATCTTAAATCATTTTTGAGGACTTGTATATGGCGTTCTTTCATTGTACCTACCATAATCAAAGTTTACTGTAATGTTGCTTTCATCTATTCCATATTGTACCTTTCTAGTACCTTTCGGGATAAAAAGTCTTTTATAAGAATACACTGTGTAATTATAAAATAGATAAAAATTTACTACTAAGCTTTTTTTATTTTTTTTTTGTGCAGCAATCATAACCAAAAATGGCATAAGATGTCGTGATGTTTTTTCCCAACGTCAATTTTTAGAAGGCAACTAACTTCTGCTTGTTTTTTCTAATTTGATATATTTCTATTAGAAGGCAACCCAATGGTTATCCTATTCTAATTCTCATGATATTTTATTCTTCCATCCAGGAAGGGCTATTTTTACTTGTTAGAAAGATATTTAAGAATTATATTTTCAAGAGAAACAGATATTCAACATCTTATTCGAATTCTTCAATCTTGTGAACCAAATTGTATGATTTATTAAAATTTGCAGTGTTTTTGTACAAAAATATTAAATAAAACATATAATATTCTATATATATATATATAAACGAACTATTAGGACAATTTATAAATTGGGTTCTTAAGAAAATGCACATATTATAATTTGATTTTAATGGATACTCCCAGCGTAGAGGATCTATTAGGAATTTAAGATAAAACAAAAACAAAATCAAAAATAATACAAAAATAAAGCAAAGAAAAATGATATTAAAGTTACTAAATTAAAATCTGTAGTTAATTTTCGCTTCAGTATGGTGGACTGGGCTTTTCAATACCCTTGGCTGGCTAAATCGTTAGGATGGACGTCGATTCTGCTTTTATAATCAGAAATGACCAGAGAAATTTGTACAATAATGATTTTTTTAGTTAGTTGTTAGTTGCATATTTATTATTATATATAGAGGCATATGTCCAATAAGATTTTAAAAACATTTTGAAGATAAATTTAGTCATTTTATATCAATTTTATGAATGGCTTACCTTAGCACAGTGTTAAAAGCTTTAGTCTTGCAACTACAGTTTCATATCTACTCCTGCCAGCCTGATATCAAGCAGTAGTGACATTCGTTTCCTCCATCTGACAAAAGCCTTTTCCTGGCATTTCTGCATCAATTAGAATTATATAATCAGTATTAGATAAATTTGTAATAAATATAGACCAATCATTGAGATTACTTCTAAAAAGCATTAAGAACTCAACATTAAGAAAAAATCTTAATGCAACAGCTCATAAGTTCAGTTGAGCTGTTCTTTTATGTGAAAAAAAATCTTTTATAATATTAATTATTTATGAAATATAATATTCCATAATTGATCACAGTCATACTTGTATTACTGGGCTACTCATCAGCCGGTCTTTTGAGATTTTCTCTAGTAAGTCATTACTACATTGTTAATCAATTTTTCAAAGATTTCAAACACCAATCAATCTATTCTTCCTATCGACCTTTGTCTATTGAATTTATAATTACGAATCGATCACCAGAACGATATAATTATTGGCAGAAAGTAGTATTCGTTAACTAGACGATATTGATGAGAGCATCTAATACCGGTAGTGATTAGCCCGTTGAGGTCATTTCATTATCCTCATCTCGACAAAGCCATTGTATGCAAAGAGAACACACAGGATATGCCGTGCCTCTGATGCCATCCATTCCGACATAATCTGCTGCAAATGCTGGATATATAGATCTAAGCGATTCTGCAAATTGTGCAAAATCACGTATGATGTTTGCTTTCTGTAATTAGTGATTTTAAAAATAGTTTTTTCATAAAAGCGGGCTACGCGGAATGCAAGGCAAGTGATTAATTGAAAGCATCTACAAATAGGTATAAGCCTTGCATTGGACTTATATTCAATTAGAATGAATGAGAATTTACACCAAGTTTTTTTTACGTCAAATATGTATTCACATGCAGCATTATTAGTTATTATCATTTTCTTCAACGATTATTCCATTTTTGATATTTTTAGTCTATATAATTCTAAATAAAAATCAATTTTCTTTTCACATTGATTTAATTTCTAATTATTTCTACATTTCTTTAATGCGTTTCCCTAGGAATTCTCATACTTAGACAGCCGATGTCATTAATATTTTATACACAAGTTGTTGAATCATCCAATCCAATCAAAATTACTGTTTCTTACTATTATTATTTTCAATATAATATAGTTAATTACAACTATGCTATATTTCACTTTTAGAACAAAACATGTGTTTTTTATTGCAATCTTTGATTAATTCTTCTTTGTAATTTTATTGCCTTATCAAATAATTACTGCTACTAGTTTTGATATGAAGATTGAAAATATATGGAATTAAAAAGATCAATTTTATTATAGATTGATTTTTTTAATTATTAGAAGGAATATGAGGACTGTAAATATATTGAATTAGAAAGATCAATTTTAATATAGATTGAATTTTTTAATTATCAGAAAAGCAAAATAAATAAATTAATGGTATTTTTTGTTGAGCCGTTGATTATAATTTGTATTCATGCAAATTATCATATTCACATCGGCTTTGTTTTGTATCATTTATTTATTGGATCATCGCTCTTATAATATTTGTATAAATGTATAATATCCATTTCTTTGATTTCTTTCTAATTCAATTTATTCTGAAATCCTTTATATAAAACATCGAGCATAGATTGTTAACAATAAGAAATAAGGGATAACATTATATTTTGACTATAATTGATATTTCCAGCAGAGAATCTATTAGATTTTTTTAATATAAAATAAAAACAAAAAAAATAATACAAAAGTAAAGCGAAGAAAAATAATATTAAAGTTACTAAATTAAAAGCTGTAGGCAATTTTTGCTTCGGTAAGGTAGGCTGGGCTTCCCAGTGCACTTGGCTGGCTAAATTGTTAGGATGGACGTCGATTCTGCTTTTATAAACAGAAATATATATATATATATATATATATATATATATATATATATATACTAGCAAACCGGGCAAACTCCGTTTCACCACCAGATGGTTTCATTTTATGTAACATTTCGTTCGGTGATTAAAAATTGAATAAAAAATTGCACAATACACGTGATTGATTTGATAGTTCCCAATTGAAATGTTATGAAACAAATAACTTATTTTTTTGCATTTTTTGCACAATTTAACAGTGATTACAATGCCGGTTTGTCACATGAAATTAAATGAGCAGAGAACAATGAGTAGCTGTCAAACAAATAAGTAGCAGCCAAACAAAAAATATTAGTTTTAAGTACATGCTAAGTATCAGAGATGACGCTGTATGTGAAAAAAGAAAAAGTGTTTCCGCTTTTCTCTTGAAATCTTTCGTCAATTTTCTTTGCTATAAACCTCACGAAGCCCGAGACCTTTCCAACGAATGCAAAATCGTCGAAATCGGTTCGTGCGTTCTGGAGTTATATCGTCAGGAAGGAAAACCCGACTTATTTTTATATAATAGATATATATATATATAGAGCATTCAGATAACCTTGCATATAACCAGAGCAATTTGTACATTAATGAATTTCTTCAATTGGCTTGATTTTCTTAAGATCATTCATTTGCTAAAGAACGCCTAATTTTGGGGTAACATATTTTTTGGAACAAAATATTTGCAGCACTCTTCATAATTTTACTTTACTTTATCTAATTTCATTTATAAGTTTTGCTATAATTTTTTGACAATGATTTTGTGTTATAATTTATATTTTAAGTTAGAGCTATGGGATTTTAATTATAAGATCCAGGTATGATATCCGCCTTGGACAACCTGAAGTCCAAGAGTAGTATAAATTAAGAAATATATATATATATATATATATATATATATATATATATATATATATATCAAATCTCGATGCCAACAAATGAAACAATTACCATTTTATAGTTTCTTAACAAAGAATTCACGACAGGACGTGTGTGTGTACCTGTCACTCATTAGTTGTTTTATTACAGTTTTATATCTTTATACGTAATCATAAACCATATTAATCCAACAATGCCATAGATCAGGCTCGCGAACTCGCTTCGATCTTATCAATGCACTTTATTTCATCTCGATGCGTTTAGACAGACAGCTGATAATAATTATTTCATAGCAAATTGATAAATTTTAATTTGTATAGTAATAGATCAAAATCAAATGAAAAGTAGAAACAAAAATTATTTAAAAAATTCCAAAGTCAATAACCAAATAAAATGGTTTCATCTCACATTGGCAATAACTTTCCTATTAGAAGTGCATTGTATCTTTTGCTTATTAATGGATTTCACTAAATTCTGTTTTATAATTATTCTATGTGTTAAAACCATTGAACTAATATGAATAATTATCATCTAAAAGAGAGCTAACGGTCACTACATACCCTCATTTTCCGTATTTCCTAGTCAAAGAATGAAAAGCCTAGGTGAATGCACTAGCTGAGAGCATCGGTGTGGCCCAGCCAAAAGGTTTTTTTTTTGAATATCTAAGAATATTCGACAAAGACACATGTGCAGACGTTCCAAAGTGTTGAAGTGGCTACATATGTGATCAATGAAGGTTATTTTAAAATGTCCGGTACTAGGTGCCACTTGGAAATATAGATTTTAAATATATTTCCAAGTCAAAATGGCCCTTTCCGGTAATTCTGCATCAAATTGAATAATAGTCATCCCTATTAGATAAATTTTATAAATAATATAAATGGTTATAAATGGTTACAAAAAGGTTAATATGGATGGAACAACCGTTGGATTGCCATTTTAAGATACTACATAAGGAGAAGTATCTTACTAACATTTTATAGGAAAATAAAAAAAACTAGATCAAAATCAATTAAGATTTCTAGTAGAGATATTGGTAATCTCTTCTCAGCTATCTATCTACTATTATAATATATCCCAGGAACGTCCGAAGGTCCACTATATTAACCCATTTCTATGACAATTAATAATATTACGCGTTGGACAATAAAAGCCATAAAGTCGACACAGGTACATGTCGCTAAATGGCTCTAAGCCATTATATTCGCGTATAAGTTATGCACGATCACGTACGACATATGTCAGAAAAGGAACAAGCTCGCGCGTTAAAGTTACTTCAGTTAAGAAATAGAAAAAAATAACATTCGCGGCCTTTGCGGTCTTACGGCTAAATTAAAAAAGTCTAATTGTAAGTAAACGTTGTGGGTTTGCGGAAAATAATTGAAACCGGTAATAAAATGGCGAGAAATTATTTATAAGTGGCCAAGTGCGGTATTCGATATAAAGAATACATCTAGAATATCTTATATGCTCCATAGTTGAAGATTGTTTTTAAAATTGGCAATTGATAGAATAGAAGCATAGATAGATTGAAACATAGTAGAGAAAAATTCTACCAATCGAAAGAGATATTTAAAAAGAGCTTATTGAAAAGTTTTGTTAAAAGAGCATTCAGATAACCTTGCATTTTTACCTCTGCAAACAGAATAATCTACGTACGTATCTATTTTTTTTTAAAAATCTGGATATGTTTCATAAATCATAATATCCATTATCACAGTAATTGATAAAATAAGAGTTTTAGCAAAATTTGCATAGTTAAAAAATATTATAAAAATATTTGACTCCTTATTACGCCACTATATAATATTTATCCTAATGACTTTACATAATTTTACAATAATACGAGTACAAATTTGCGAATGAACCCAACGTGAATGCAAAATACTACAATGGATCAGAAAACCTTTCATGATCTTTAAATAGAACGTATTTTATACAGCATTTCTGCGCGATTAATAATTTTATATAACCTTTATTATAGATATTTTTATAGATTAGACGAATGATATTTATGAGACATATTACATATGTAACGTCTGCTATTTTTGATTTAAATTAAGTTCTGGAAGGAAATATCTTTTGTTTATTGAGGATAGTTATATTTAGGAGTTGCAATTGTTAGGTATTCATAGATTCATAAGGTAATCCCATAATTTACTAAAAAAATATCATTCATATGTATATATAAGTAAATTAAAACCTTATTTTAAATGTAAAATTAGAACTTAGATACTTTTGTAGTTTCTTTATGTAATGCATGTAAATCAAATTATCTATTTACATCAACTATTATTTCTATTCTAATTGACTCTTGATTCGAGACATATTTCAATTATTTCATTGATTTTTCGAGACACATTTAATAAACCACGTTGATACAATTATAGATTCTCGACTATTGTAATATCTAAATAATAAATTAAAATAGAAATTGTATCATCGAACTTATAACGCAAAAAGCAACTTCACGTTAACTTTTCACGTTTTCCATAATATCACGTTTTTGGTAAAAATAATTGTTATCATTGGTTCGTGAATATTACGTGGACACGTGCCCTGTAATTATGTAAAAATATAATCATATTTTGAGATATCTATTCGAATATTTAGTTATTTGTAAAATAAATTCGCAATGCATAAACGTGAATAGATTATTCTCAATCACGTTGTCTGATGTCGATGTAAATGATGCATTTTACGTATTTTTGTAAGAGCACGTTGATGTAAAAATATACTAGAGAAAACGTTTCATTCATTAAAGCTTATTTGACAATGGAAATGATTTTATTTGACATAATCAGTTTGTTTTAACTTAGGTAATAAATTGATGTTATAATCAATAAGGACCATAGTTCTGCCTGCGCTTGTATAAAACATTAAATTTTTACAAATATTCATCTTGATCGGAAGAAAGATTGATACAAGATAATATTTAATGTGTTGCTAAATAATTTAATAGATCAGCAAGTTAAATATAATGAAGTTCAACTTACTGAGAATCTAAAAATAAGTCAGAGTTAAAATAATTTACTTAGCTAATTAGAGCTCCTTTTGAACTCTTGAAAATAGTGTTTTAAGAAGGTTTCTATATTATTAATTTATAAATAAGGAAGTCTCATAACTGAGTGGCGATTCATATAGAGATCATCAAAATTGATCAAATATAATAATCTAATTTATCAAATTTACTAATTTTCTTACATATTGCTAGTCCATTCTAATTAGTATATATTAGTAAAAATGTCAAGGAATTCTTTTCTCAGAATCTATGAAATAGCTGGAGTCTAAAAATTATAAATTACTTCTATCAAATATCTTAGAAGTATTATATTAATAATATCATATTTCTCTATATACATTTTCAACAGTAATCTGAATTTAACAAAATTTATAACCTGTTGTGCTCACTTCTTGAACGAGGTTCATTTTTATAGATGACAACCCACTTGGTTGTCCTCTGCGATGAATATATTATTACAATATTTGCAATACTGATGATTTTATTTATTGATGCAGAAAAACCTTCTTGGAAAATTTTTCAATCTATATTTTTAAGCAAAAATCGATTTAAAAGTTACTACAGGTTTAAAGTTTGTCCCAAGGCGTATTTATTACTCACTCAGGCGTAATCGTTCTTGAAAATTAATATTTTTCCAATAATGAGAAAATTATTTAAATAAAAATATGAATCAAAGACATATTAGCTACTGAAATGATTTAAATGATATTCACAATTAAAGTTGTAGAAGCTTAATTATAGTAAGCCAACTTTCCGGGTTAATCGATATTCCTTGTGTAGCATTATTAGACAGACGTATCAAATACCCAAATTAATTTCAGTCTAATTATAATTTAGCGCATTTATAGCAACATCTCTTAAATTGCCAATAACCACAACCCAAAGTCACGGTTTTCCTTAAAATAATCAGCAGGACTCAATTTTAGACATGCAATTTATATATGGCATTTAAATCCCTTGCATCTTTGACAATAATTAGATATGTGCAATTAATATCATGTTCCATCAGTCAATTTCTAAGATAGAGGATATAATTGAGATCAATTTGGCAGAAATTACAAATAGAAACGGTACTGAATATCATATTATATGCGACCGAACGAACACGGCTACCTGTACCTACCTGGTGTGTACACCCAACTCTGCAAACTGTTGTGGGTCACGTGTCGGACACGTGACACGGGAGCTAAACACCACGTGCTCCCACGACGGACTAATTCCACTCCACTCCTGTCAGATGCAAAATTGACAGGAGCGAATTTTTAGCAAGAAATGTAAAAATCATTGAATTATAGATGTTCATTCAGAATTTTATTGAACTAATTCTGATGGAACATTTGAACAAATACTATAATGATAGTGATTAGGGCTTTGGTTTAAAGCAACTCTGCAAAAAAAAACAATGTAAATAGTGAAACATTGTTCTAGATAATTACTGCAAATGGAATTTAGTGATCCAATATTTTGTAGTAGTTTAATTTTTTTAAATTTTTATTGATCTTGTAATCTTGTTCATTGGCCAATTTCATGATGCTTCGTAAGTCTTTCTGACTTTCACAAGTCTTCTATTTGTTTGATATAAAGCCACGTGCATCGTTCTGATTTGATAATAATTTTGATTATGACTTACAATAACATTTTTTAGAAAATTCCCGAGTTTTGGATTTATTTACTTAACCAAAATGTGTGCAATTGAGTCTTCTAAAATCTCAATACACTTCGTAAATCTTTTGTCTTTCAAAAGTTTTCAGGTTTTTAAAAGTTTTTAGTACATTTGGTTCAAAGCCACCTAATTGTAAAAAATCTGTTCACACACACACACACACACACATAGTTTTTCCAAATTTGGTCTCATTCGATTCAGAATGGCTTGAAACGTCGAGAAAACGTAAAATTAGAGAATCGAAAAAATTTATGGTGGAATAAAGTACTAGAATCATTTATAAAGTGATGAAAGGATTAAAATTGAAGTCACTAATGAAATGGGATAATAAGGGAAATAACTCCAATAATCATACGTTGTAAATGGAAGAACCACTTGGATAGTTTCACTAAATATTTATATTAATAAATAAATTCTATTATATTTGTTAATTATGAAGTAACTAATGATTTAAAAAAGTTAGTAAGCGTAGTAAATCATTCCAAACCATTGGTTGTTTATGGAATAGAATTATCTATAATCTACTGAAAGTAGAAATGAAGTTACTGATGGAATAAGAAAATAAATGAGTATTATAAGATACCTACTCTAAAAAAATCTATTGATTATGGAATACACTACTAATAATAATAAAGTAATGAATTGATTACAAATGAATTCACTAATGGAATGGGATAATAAGGAAAATTATGGGATAGTAAGCCACTGGAATAATTTCATTAACTAATTAAATTAATAAATAAAATTTATTAATTTTGTTAATTATAATCTACAGAATTATTCCAATTATAAAAGATTAGACTTTATAAATATTAGTGTACTATTTGTGATTGAACACGCTGAAGCAGCTAAATATTCTAAATTAAAAATGTACATTTGAACGAATTAGGAATATTGAAAACTGAGTTATTAGATGAAAATTTGCCTTTAAATTAAAGTCATTTTATATATTACATGATTTGCAGAAAATATGGGTCTATATTCCGAGAAGAATTGATTGCCTTATAGAATATGTTCATTATAAGAAAAATACATGGCATGATCTGGTAATAATAAAACACCATGGTTTTAGTAGTTAATCGTGCTGAAATTGGTATAAAGGTTTGTCAAATAACTTTTTTTTGTGAAAATGCTATAAAAAACTACTGGATATCGTAGCAATTTTTAGATCATAATTTGGCCAGCCGAGGCTATGGAAAAAAATTAAAATTAAAGAAAAAATAAGTTAGATAGCATACCCTATATAAGGAGCTACTAATTTTCAAAAAATCTGTGTGCATGTATTTTTTTTATTTATACTTTTGATAATTTTATAATTTATGTTTCGAAATACAGTTATACCCAACTATGACCTTTGATAATTTCATCGTCCAATATATTATATATAACTAATATTTCTTCCATCAGTCCACATACGATGCACTTTCTTGAATATAATTTACCACTGCATCCCTTGGGGCGCCTCGCACAACATTAGTTCCCTCTCACGCGGATACTCATACATCGGCATGCACGTCGTATGAATAAATCAGAACTTGAGTGTGTCGCCGAGATACCGATACAGGGTTTAATACGACTGAAGTATATCGCTTCTGAAATTTCCCATCATCCCCACTTCGGATTGAACAGAAACAACCCCAACATAAAATTTCCCCAACGGGGAGGGCGTGCAGTAACTTGTGTATGCAAAGCCACTGGACTTTTCAGTTTGTATCAACCTGTTGCTTCGGCAACTACAATTTTGAACTGACCCACGAACAAATTATTTGGTCGGTTTGATAAAGTTTTTTCGGCCAATTGTTGAACAAGAGTGTCTAGTCACAAAAAGTGTTAATAATAATAAGTTTGAACAGGAAGTATTATTCTTGTGAGTTTTTGGTTTTTTTTGGGAGAAACCAAAATTCTCTTGAATGTGTTCTTGTATGTTTTCCTTTCATAATATACAAATTTTACCCCAACATTAACTTTGCTCAAAGTACTGCATGCTAATAAAAAAAATTATAATAATTTACCATCAAATTTTTATTACTGCTGCATGCTATTTTCCTCTAATTATTGACCTTTACCATTTATCCGAATCCTTTTAGTTCCTATAACATACATTGATTAACAAAAACCAAATGTCTTACGATTCGAATATGACCGTTTCTCAAACATTCTCCCGCGACTGTGGAAATGCGACATACAACTATCAATGGAATTGGTCTGGCGAGGGAAACTTCAATGCTGCCGAATACGATTGTCATTGGACTGCAGGGGTGCAGAATAATGCCGCGTGGCATACACCACAATACAGCACGCAACAATGGTCCTACCCTGTTAATAAAAGATATGCGGAGGCACAAGGTAGAAAATTATTTGTTTGGCGGAAAATTTTTATATTCATGTTTCCCTATCTATTGATCATTGATGTCAATTTAAACTTTACTATGCATTATAATTTGCGAATGTATTGTCATGTTTTCATATTTCCCTAATTCCAAAAAGCATTGTTTAGTTTTCACCATACAAGTGAGCTAGTCAGTGGCCTTGAGGTAAGAGCTTTGTTTTGTTGCCACTGATTCCAGGTCCTATCACCATTTCTGCCAGTTTGATATCAAGCAAGAGTTATATCAGTTTTTACTTAAACATATAGATCTGAATATGATCTCTGAAGTGAAAAAAGTCTTTCGATCTGCTGAAATATCTAATAAGAATCTCATCACAAAAAGAATGGACAACCATTGGTATCAAGCTGTCCTAGATGGTGTATCGTACCTGGAACCTTCTGGTTAAAAGACTCAATCACTTACCACCGAGTCACCACGAAATAAAATTTAAAAAAAAACTGATACATTTAGTTTATGAACTAAGTAAGTCGAAGTACATATGAAGTATATCAGTCACTATTTTACTACATGTTTCTTAGAGGGGTCTTATAAACAAACAATTAAATTATAATTTTTATTTTTTTTTTTTGTAACTAAAAAGATTGGCTGGTATATTTGACAAAAAATTGATCAATCCATTAATTTTTCCAGTGATAAATGTTTTAAAACGATTTGTGTATATTTTATGATTTTTGAGCCTAATTTGGGAGCGGTGCTTTTTAATTCAGATAAATTTGCTAATTATGCCATATTATTCTGATTAATTAGTTCTGTCAATTCATAATTAATATTCCGAACCAGTATGTTAATCAAGGTTTCAATTTTTTATTATTCACTTTCACTGTCAAATTATTTAACAAGCATAATATTTGCCAAAGTTTAAGAAAATGAATCTTGTTTCAAACCAATATATAAAATTTCCTCTATCATTCTGTACAATTTTTTCTTGGCTTAAGAAAATATGGTTTTAATACACTTATCTTCGAATATATATTATTAAAACATATTCAAATTTATTTGAATATTATTTCTATTCAAGATTATAGTCACAAATCTGTAGGAAAATGTGGAAAAATCTATTACAATAAGAGTCCTTTCGTGTTTCTTCTGTCTTTTAAATGGGTTGTTTACGAATCATATTTTATATCTTTTGAAAAACCTGCATAACTGAATCGTAAATGCAATAATGAAAATGGGTATGGAAAATATGTTTCGAGGGGCATTATTTTTAGATCTTCTTCATTTTGAAAATTGAAATATTAAAGTAAAAATAATTGCAACAAGAGAGGCGTTGAAGTTTTATTGAAAACAACTATTTTTGTATTAATATAAATTATTGTCTATAATATTTAAGTACACAATTTTTGATACAATTTATTTACAATTTACGTATCATTTTTTTCTAAATATTTTATTTCACTTTTTAATTTATGATATCAAGCGCAAAACACTCCAAGCGCAAATTATATATGGACGTAAAATGTAAAAATTTAAATCCATGCTGTTTAATATATTCAGTTTTAAAAGTGAAATTGGTATTACAGATATCATTATTCAAATTGATTATAAAATTTATAAAAACTGCTAATGTATTTTGATTAATTCAGTATTCATACTGACCACGGTTATTGGATATTTTTGGGCGACTACATTAGAAAGTGTTATTCATTAGTTTGCCATCAAACTTAATAGTATTGATTAATATGTAAATACTTTATTGTATATAATTATTTGCTCAGCGTGTTTTTCCTTAAAGATTATTTATTACTTTTGAAATCTAGATTTTTCAAAGCTAACAAAAATATTGTCAAAAGTTTTTCTAAAATTATCTTATTATTTTGTCTTAAGAAAGTTATTAGTTCGTTTACCTCATTGTTTTGAGATAAATCTTATTCGAATTAGATTCATTTTAAAAGCAAGAGAGGAGAGCGTGTTGATAAAATAGTCTATTTATACGTGATTTTGTGTCAAACTCTCAATTTTAAATCTACACATGTTCGCGATTTTTTAGCCATTGAACTCAAACAATTATTTGAGATTTGTTTGAAAATATGAATATTGTAAATATAGCACGAATAGAATGGCAAAAATAAGGCGCATTATTTTAAAAATCTATTAGCACGTGTAGAGGTTTTTGACTTTCCAATTTCCATCTTTTCATTGAGAATTTTCTAATATTAATCAACGCTTTATATCCCTTTGAATAAGTGGTCAATTCTCAGATAAAATTGAAATGTTATAGTAATGTTATATTACTTCACCTGTAATTATATGAGTTGGTAGACACAATCTGCCAAAAAATTATGTATTTGCTGTGCGATCAGGCGTTTCACACATAAAAACTTGCCTCAAAAAGGCACAAATAACAAATAATAATTTTATCATAGGTGCAACTTCCTGATGTCTCTTTGATGAAGTTGGGTTTTCTGTGTGAAAATCTTGATCGCACAGCGAATACTAAGCTTTTTGATAGTTTGTTGCTACCAACTCATACGATTATAGACCCGTAATATAGCATTACCATAACATTTCTATTTTATACGAAAATTGGCCCCGATTAACTTCGACAAAAGCAGTGTTAGATGGAATGTAATTTAATGTGTATTGATATTCGAAGATAATAGAACCGCAAAGCGAATTTATCTATATTTAATGATATTACGAACGCGTTGAGGTGTTGCTAGAGCCGAGCCTTGAATTGCAAAAAAGCCGGCTCAAACATATTCATTGTTCTGACATAGTAACATTGTAAACATTCCGTCCACGAGTTGTTAGTTGACGATCGCACGGCAATGGCAACACATCGATCAAATGTGTATTCTATGTCCATGTATATTGTATATTGTAACCACTACTCGTGCCCAGTTAGTCCATCGTGAAAACAACTAGCAACTGGTCTATCGACGGCAAGCGGCAAACGATTCGCCTCGTGTGCGGTCAGTTGTCAAAACGTTTCCTAAGTCATAGCAGCTCCGAGCTCAGCTCACAGATGAGAAAAGTCGAGGAACGAAATTCGCATTGATATTTGATACCGACGGGCACATTAATTTTTGGTATTGTCTCGTCCGAGGTGCGGATTTGACATCGCCGTGCGATTTGTGTGTGTGTGCTCAACCGGTGTGGTACTTTTTCCTTCGGCCGAAGAAGTTTACTTTCGTTCGGCAGTGTGTTCACTTTCATTTTTCGAAGCGGCTACGGACGTGTTGTATTCTGGATATTATCTGATCGCGCGCGTTCAGTCGCACGTTGATGCGTACGCTATACGCATCGCGGTTTTGGTTAACCCACGTGAAATTTTGTGAAAATTTTGGTTTTGATTTTTTTTTTACTATTGACTGTTTTTGGATTTTATACTGAAAATGCGCCTTCGCGCTTTGTGATGCCATCAGTGTGGTGACGTTTTCAGGACTAAGGACCTGTCCGAGTGACGACGGGTCGATCATTTTCATACAAAAGTTTATATTTTTTATCGATTGATATCGGTGATAGTTTGATTCAACTTGAAAATGGATTATCAGCAGTTGGCACCGCCGGCGCCACTGCCGCCAGCAGCCACAATGCAACTGCCGCATGTGCACATGCTGCAGCAGCAACAGCAACATATGCAACAACAAATGCAGCAGCTAACTGCTGTTAACAACAATCAACATCAAAGTCTGCCTCCTGTACATTTTAACGAATCAGATCCTAGATGGAGTCAGTACCAGCAATTTCTAAGGCAACACCACCACACATTTGTCAACAACAATAATACGATAGGAATCGTAAACGGTAGGATTTCAGATAGTGATGAATAAAAAATTAAATTATATTGAAATTATAAATACTTAAATCTTCGTGAATTCTATACCCGGAAGTACCTCGCGTGAGAACTGTTTTAGACAGTATATAAAAATTTCTTACACATGTAATGTAAGTTGTAATTGAGAAGATTTTATTGCATACGAAATTAGGTATCTTAATGAAATACTTAAGGGTAATTGTAATAGTTATCAAGTTGTGGCTTTGCATAAGTTCAAATTCTATCATGGAGATAAATATTGGAGCCCCAAAACAATTATTTCAGTTATATTTTTATATTGCACGAGACAGCTCATTTAAAAATATTCATTACAAATATTGGTTTCAATAGTTTTATAAAACCCACGTCCATGTTGAACAGTCATTATATCTTTCCGCAATTTTTCTGTTGTAAACAATCGCTTCCTTGTTCAGCGATGGATATATTGCGTGTTTCGCGTTGGTAAATTTTAACATTACAGTCTAAAAAGTCATACTCAACAAATACATTCAAAATTTTCTATTCGTATAATTTATTGTATGAACAATTCAACTCTCATCGCGTTAGTTTTAGCCCAAAGGATAATTACAAACCATATGATTTATCAAAGACGCAGAACGTTGATTCGCTTGATACGGCAATTTGATACCCAAGTACAACTTATATGATATGTAATTTCCAAATAGAACAAGGTTTCTGTGTATGGTTGTTAATTGACATGATGATGCACGAGTAGGAAACCATCTATGTGCTCGGTAGACGAAAGATTCTAAATCTTTTTTAAAGCCAACTAAAATTTATATTATATATGTATCATGCCAAAGTTATAAATCACATTGAATGAAAAACTTATTTAAATTTTTCATTATAAACAGTTTTTGTAAATATTCATAACACAATTTTATATTCAAGTGAGTATTTGAATAAAAATTTTATATTCTTTTAAATAATTTTTATTTTACTTTAAGAATCTGTGAATTATCATCCCATGCAAAAGAACTGTGCGTGCGTTTTTCTTTGCCATGATATGGTAATTTATTCCCAATTAGCAAATGATTAATTTTCAAATTGTTTTGAAGCGTACATAAAATGAATGAGTAATAACTGTGTCATCTATTGGAGTTCAAATATTGAAAATTTTTGGAGTAAACTCAATTTTTTTTCTATTCTATTTTTTTTCTTCCATGTAAAAATAGCTTATGAGACTTCATTGTGTCTTGATTGCTATTTAAAAAAATTGCAAATTTAAACATTTTGGATTTTCAATTTTCTGGTAAAATTTTAAAAACATAACTGATTTGACAAATATTTAGAAAACTATAATAAATAAACAAGGAAAAATTTGGGAATTTGAATATTAATATAACAAAATAGCTAATTTTGTTTAATGCTCAAAGGTTTTAAAATCATTTCATTAAAACTTATAAAATTTTGATTGAAAAAATTTGTTAGAATTTTAACTACCTGTATATGACTGTTGATTATTTATGTTTCTGCTAACATTTATTTGGAATATTTTTTTTAAAATAATCAATTGACACAAACACTTTAATTGATTATCTACAAAAAATTTACATTCGGATCTTAATGTAATTAGGACTTTAATTTTAGATTTCTATAAAATATAATTATCAGTTGAATGTTGTAAATTTTCAAAAAAATGTTCAGAATTGCTAATGTTTTTTTTTAATTTTTAATTTTCCTTACATATAGATTATAAATTTTGCAGATATTTATTCAGAATAACTATTTTTAAATAATCATTTTGAGTATCGACAAAAATTTATATTTCGGTTCTTTAGCTCTAATTTGGACCATAATTTTAAATTTCTATAAAATATACTAGCCTTTTGTAATTTTGATGCTTTATCTGGGATTTGTAAATTTTTGTAAAAATGTTCAGAGTTTTTGTATTGTTTATTTTTTGACTTTGTATACAAGTACATTAGTCATATATACAGTTTATCAATCAACTTTACAATTTTATTTTATTGGATTGTACATAAGTATATAGCGCACCATATATTCTTTTTAAAAGCAAAAAAACTCCCTTCCAACAAATTTTATAATATTGTTGATAAAAGAAAGAATGTTCAGAGTTGTTATAATTATCTAAAAAAAATTGCAGTATATTTTTTGCATGACTGTTAATGATTTTTTAATACTTTACAAACCCGGAAATGTTTGCATTATCTTTATTATTTTAGTTATGAATTCTTTAACTAAGTTTGAATCTAGCTGAGTCACTATAACTGATTTTCACGTTAAAATTATAACTTGTTGAATCTGAGTCAGTCAGATATAAATCGCCTTTCTTTGCGGTGGTTGCTTTAGATTCGCGATGAAAGTGAGAACTGTATTTGCACTGCGGTGTGCGAATGCCGGAAGAGTTTGCGATTATTTCTGTGGGATAAAATAACATATTACCATATAAAGATTGCGATTAATCATTGGCGAATAACTATATAAGTCTGAATACAATTTGCAAGAATACTGTAAAATTCAATTTATTGCATTCATTAAGGGGATAATAGTTCTAGTAATAATTGCAACGTTTTTATAAGAAAAAGACATAGCGAAATATTTTATTTGTTTTGTTTAACTCATACATTCTTCTGTTTAGAAATCTAGTAAAATTTAGGAAAGGCTAAGTGTAATAAATTTTTTTCAGGCTAGTAATATATTATTCTTGTTTCTATGATATTTAATTGATCTATTTTTGTTTGCTTATACAAGTATATGTTTTATATATTGTGATTATTCATAAATTTACTTTGATATATTCGTATTGACTCCCCAATACAACCCTAAGATTACAATTTTTATATGGTGTTATATTCTTAAAACACGGTCAATATTTTCATCATTTACGATTTATGTTTGTTTTTAAAATATTAGCATAATTTTTACTTTCTGTACTTACCACTATCTTGCATCACCTTCATTCAAAATATTTTGTTTAAATGTATATGACGTCTTCTACTATTAAATGTATATGATGTCTTCTATATTTTATCGATGGATAAATCTATATTTTAGATTTTAAATATACATTAACATTTTCAATGAAATAAAAATCTCATCAATCAAAAAAAAGTTAAGATAAATATAAATTGGCCAGGTATCTTCTTTAAGACTTTTGTAATGTTACCTTGTTATCTAAGCTGAATTTTCTAGTTTGTAAAAACCGCCTTCATTTATGTGATTCTCTTGGAAATATAGATAGCAATATGTTTCCAAGTGAAAATGGCCCTTTCCCGGCATTGCTGCACCAATAAAAAGTCAGCCCTATTAGATTAATTCTAATAATAAAAATCATCAAATATGGATGGATTAACCATTGGGTTACCATCTAAAAAATACGAAGAAAGGAGAAGTTTCAGCCCAACAGCACATAGGACGTAAGGTTCTGATTGCTGTTAAAAATATAATAAAAAAAAAAATTATGTGATTATGTTATTTTGATAATGATATAACGGTAACATCAGTAACTTTTTGCTTTGATATAAGTGATTATTCGAAACTCACACCTTTGGATATGTATTTTATTACGAAGAACGGTGTCAAAATCAAAATACTTGACCTTGGATTTTTAAATAAATTTGGTTACCAACGTTGTGTTTTGTTTGAAAGTTTTTGTTGATTTCTCAAACCGGCCGTTTTACCTGTTGGTACAAAATAAGTAAATTACTAGGAAAACATGGTTTTGTTGATTTCTCAAACCGGGCGTTTTACCTGCTGGTAAAAAATAAGTAAATTACTAGGAAAACATGGTTTTAAACATTAGCATGTATTTATATCATTGTTGATAAACTTCAATAGACAAGTTCATTGTGATGCAGAATGACATGATTGCTATAGCATTTAAATTTTTAAGTCAATTATTACGAAGGGGTCAATTATTACCCCTCTTAGGTAAGGGGCTATAACGACTGAGCCTGGATCAGGGGTCCCGGGTTCGATACCCACTTCGAGCAGCCTGTTGTCAGGAAGCAGTGACAACGATTTTCACTTGGAAATATAGATAGCAATATGTTTCCAAATGGAAACAGCCCTAATACTGCATTGTTGCACCAATAAAAAGTCATCACTATTACAATACTTGTAATAATAAGTCATCACATAGAGATGAGATAACTGTTTGGGTTTGCCATCTATAACAAAACAAAGGTAGTTTGAAAGAAATTCATCGTAGCAGATCATAGGACCCATAAGTTCTGATCGCTGTTCAAATAAATACAAAAAAAAGTTATTATGAATTTAATTTTAAATAACTTGGCGTTTTTGTAATCATTAAATATAATGATGAACTGATTCGTCAGGTATTTTCATATTATATTATTTTTTCCCGTAGTCATTAACTACTTTGGGCAAGCACCTTCGTAAAATAGAAGCGTAATACTGGACGTGGATGCTATAGCATTCATGGTATATAATGAATAAAATATGATAATATGACTATAATTATAAACAAATTAATCAAATTTCGGATATCACAGCCAGTTTAAAAATAAAATGACTGTCAGTTTTTGTACCTTGCTGATTCTTTTGATGTTCGGGAATGCTTTAACTTAAAAATGCAAATTTAATTTGTATTTATAAATTACTTTTAGCGTCTATTCTTGTTCTAAATAAATAAAATTAAATATATTTTAAATTAAATAAAATATATTTTATTCCATTAAAATCTTTTCAAAATACAATCCAAAGCACATATCCAAAACTATCTTTTCCTGTTCTTTCGTCCAACTCTTCGGCAATTCTCGATCGGCTTCGCGCAAAATTCACACGACCGCAAACCCGGAAGATGTTGTGTTTGCCCGCGCTCGCTGTGTGCCGCGAGCTCCGGAGAAAGTTGCCTCGAACTCAACACTCGGCCTGGCTTGGCTTACACTCATACATGCGCCCGTCCGGACGCTTATTTAATCGCGATGAGTACTTTATTAATGCATGATTGATAATTATTATTGACTTGCCAATTATTAAAAGA